AATCAGCCGAGAGAAGCCAGACCTCGCGCCAAGTTCGTTGAGATCAAATTACCGGTGAAGCTCGCGTCGATGGATGAACTCTTCGCTTGGGTGAAGAACGCGATGCAGAATATGGCGTCGAAGATCGATATAACGCTTGCGGGAAACAAATCCGAGACGAAGAAGAGTGTGAGAAGAGTGGAGAAGGTCGATGAGAAGAGGACAAAGGTCGACGAGAAGGCGAAAGGCAATGGAAAATCTGCGTCGCCTCGGAATGCAGTCGTGGGGTTCGAAGACGGCGTCAACCCCTGGCCGAAGACTGGGAATGAAATTTTCGCTCCTTTGCTCAACGCAGAGGCTTTTCTTCCGCTGTTCTTCGGTGATGGGTACGCTGATAAGTTCAGGGGGGCTGAATACGCCAAATACGCGTATGATGCAGTGGGCGGGGGTGAGGTGCCTCGGGGGGAGGAAAAAACAGTGAAATTTAACTCGCGAGGGGTCATCTCGCAGAGTCTGACGGCTGGGGGTGGACGGAACAGCTCGGAGCCTGCGGAGTCTTCGACGGAAGCTGTTTCGTCGGGCAGGAGCGTCAACGGGAGCGAGATTCCGCGACCGAGTGGGGTGCCCTTCTCCATCCCCTTTGAAGCGTTCATCACGATTACTAGGGAGCATGAAACGGGGCCGAAGGTTCAGGGGAACGCGACCGCGTCGGGTTCGAGTCGTCAGAACGTCTCTTCGGTGGTTTTGTCTACCGCGGCTCCGCAGCAGATCAGGAGGGATTGCAACCACTCGGCGCCTAGTATTTATTTCCAGCCCAGACCGCAGGAACTGGATGGTGGCGATGATTTTGGGAGGGAGAGGCCGCGGGGGGTTGAGGGGAGGCCTTATGAGTCGGAGCATCTGCAGCATTCCGCGGGTTTTGCCTCCTTGGGGGGCGACGGGGGCACCCGGCCTGGGGGTGGTGATAGAGAGAGGTTGGAGATCCCTAAGCGGAATAGTAACAGCAAGAACAAGTGGGTAACTCCGGTTTTGGGGAGAACTAGTAAAGAGTGGGCTGACATTTCCGGTATACTTTTTGGGAATTTTTAGCGCATTTTTGTTTCGGGGGAATTTCACGGAATTTGGTTACCGAAAAGAGGATTTCAGAGGAAATTTTTTGAGAGGGAGAATCAATTTTAGTTCAATTATTTCATGAAAATTGATAGAAATCAGCAGAATTCAGTTGAATATATTCTTAAGTGACATTTCTAAAGTGATAGTCCTAAAGTGACATTAAACATTGTGAGATTAAACACATTATGGTTCCTTTAAACTAGAATTTCGATTTATTCATTAGTATTGAATGTTAATTTTGGTTCAATTGTAACGAGGACATGAAAAAAATAGTAAATTTCCTGGGACACTTTTTGGAAATTTCTAACTTGTCGATAGAGGAAGTTACTGTAATCATTATTAAATTGTAGTTCCACTGAAATTTCAAAATTTGATGGAAAGATCGATGGGATATATAAATTCCAATTTAATTATTCCATAAAAATGAGTAGATAAATTGCATTTTCAATTCACTGAAAATTCATCGGAATTTGTAATTTAATATTCCTTTTTGTCTGAAAATTGAAATAATCAAAATTAAAAAATTGAGAATTCCACGGGATTTCCAGTGAATTATGAAATTTGACGTCTTTTCTCACGTAAAATGAATTCAGCGTCACTCTCCTAAAAATTCCTACACGGAGAGAAATATTCAATAAAAATTACGTATCTTTTCCGTAATTCCGGAGCAAAATGTGGTTGGAGGAAATTTTACGGAACTGTCACGGAATTTTTCCGCAGCATTCCGTAATTTTCATCTGAATCTCCTGTGAAAAATTACGATACCGTCACTTAAATTTTCTGAGTCGATTCCGTAATCGATGAATGAATTGTGAGTTCCGTAATTTTTACTGAACATTTCTCTCCGTGTACTCAACTATCCATGAAATTTCAATGTTTTTTTTTTAAATTACGTTTATTGGGGTGAAATTTCACCCCCTAAAACGAATTCAATGTCACTCTCCAGAAAATCGATATCCGAATCCCCCTAAGCACAAAAATTCACCCAATTACGACATTTCAATGCCCAAAAACTAGGGACAGTTCTCGCAAGCGTCAGCTAGCAACTCTGGGCGACATCCTGAAGTCCTTAGGTCTCATCAGAAAGTCCAACAAGAGCAACAAGCTCCAAGAAGCTGCGACGACCACCTCAGCCCTTCGAAGACCCACAAAAAAGCCACGTGATGATCCTCCCCGGCGTCCTACATTCCACTTTGAGGATGTGAGTAATAAAAAATTGAGATCCACGCCGCTAATTTCAATATTCATGACCCTCTCGCAGCAAAATTAATCACGGAGACACATTTATCGCATTAGCATGTCACAAGAGTGAATCGCGACATGCCCCATGTCCTGTCATCTCTCGGATCGTTAATTTTTTTTCGTTTCTCCTTGTACTAGCGTCATTGATCTGTTGCTCAAGCAGGATCAAGTGAGAAAGCTCCCACAGGGACAAATAGGAAACTCGTACACCTGACTTTGCGCAACATTCTCACCGGCATTGATGCGCTCATGCATACGCAATGGCTTTATATTGATGAGATTATAGTCATCAGGAGTGTTATCAATTTCTACTTGTCGAGGGGTCGTGAATTAATATTGCATGAATTTTTTTGTTTCCATATTATTACATTGTGGCATTCTAGTTTATTTTTTGCCGAAGGAATTGCCACAGCGACCTACTAGGAATGAGAGCTCTCAGAGACAGGAATTTGAGGATAGCGACGAGGAGGAGGGGGTGAGTGTTTTGTAATTATTGAAATGGTGATGCTGTCCTGAATTTTATTCGTTGAATATCATTTTATCATCTTCATGGTTTATTGATCATGTGTCATAATCGGCTCGGATTGCTGAAACTTTTTTTCCTATTCTTTCGATATTTTTCCTTTTCCTTCATTGCATTTTATGCAATGAAGGGATTTTTTTTAATGCACATTTAATAATAGTGTATTTATTTTATTTTGTTTGGTTGTTTATTTAGGGAGGAATCCTGAATTGTTGTTGATCATTTTATCTTCTTCCTCATTTTATTCTTCATTTTTTAAAATTCTTTCCAAATTTTTCTTTTGATTTCATGAAAAATTGAAAAATATTAGCCCAGAACTAAATGTGAGAAGGGAAGAAAAAAGAATTTACTAACGAATAATGAGTATTTTTTATGCACATTTAATAATAATGTATTTATTTTATTTTGTTCGTTTATTTATTTAGGGAGGAATCCTGAATTACTGTTGATCATTTTATCTTCTTCTTGATTTTATTCTTCATTTTTTAAAATTCTTTCCAAATTTTTTTTTTGATTTCATGAAAAATTGAAAAATATTGGCCCAGAACTAAATGTGAGAAGGGAAGAAAAAAGAATTTACTAACGAATAATGAGTATTTTTTATGCACATTTAATAATAATGTATTTATTTTATTTTGTTCGTTTATTTATTTAGGGAGGAATCCTGAATTACTGTTGATCATTTTACCATCTTCTTGATTTCATTCTCCATTTTTTTAAATTCTTTACCGCAAATTTTTCTTTTGATTTTATGAAAAATTGAGAAATATTGGTCCAGGATTAAATGTGAGAAGGGAAGAAAAAAGAATTTACTAACGAATAATGAGTATTTTTTATGCACATTTAATAATAATGTATTTATTTTATTTTGTTCGTTTATTTATTTAGGGAGGAATCCTGAATTACTGTTGATCATTTTACCATCTTCTTGATTTCATTCTCCATTTTTTTAAATTCTTTACCGCAAATTTTTCTTTTGATTTTATGAAAAATTGAGAAATATTGGTCCAGGATTAAATGTGAGAAGGGAAGAAAAAAGAATTTACTAACGAATAATGAGTATTTTTTATGCACATTTAATAATAATGTATTTATTTTATTTTGTTCGTTTATTTATTTAGGGAGGAATCCTGAATTACTGTTGATCATTTTACCATCTTCTTGATTTCATTCTCCATTTTTTTAAATTCTTTACCGCAAATTTTTCTTTTGATTTTATGAAAAATTGAGAAATATTGTTCCAGGATTAAATGTGAGAAGGGAAGAAAAAAGAATTTACTAACGAATAATGAGTATTTTTTATGCACATTTAATAATAATGTATTTATTTTATTTTGTTCGTTTATTTATTTAGGGAGGAATCCTGAATTACTGTTGATCATTTTATCATCTTCTTGATTTCATTCTCCTTTTTTTTAAATTCTTTCCCGCAATTTTTCTTTTGATTTTATGAAAAATTGAGAAATATTGTTCCAGGATTAAATGTGAGAAGGGAAGAAAAAAGAATTTACTAACGAATAATGAGTATTTTTTATGCACATTTAATAATAATGTATTTATTTTATGTTGTTCGTTTATTTATTTAGGGAGGAATCCTGAATTACTGTTGATCATTTTATCATCTTCTTGATTTCATTCTCCATTTTTTAAAATTCTTTACCGCAAATTTTTCTTTTGATTTTATGAAAAATTGAGAAATATTGGTCCAGGACTAAATGTAAGAAGGGAAGAACACGAATGACCCTAAATGATTTAATAACGAATAAGGAATAGTGAATAAATGAATATTTTTCATGCACATTTAACAATAGTGTTTTTACATTATTTTATTCGTTTATTTATTCAGAGAGGAGTCGTGAATAGTTATTATTCTGAACTTGATTGGTTGAAGATCATGTTATCACCTTCACGATTTCATTCTTCATTTTATAATAGAACACTAAAGAATTTAATGGCGAATGATGAATAATGAATAAATTATTATTTCTCTTTATGCACATTTATTAATAGTGTAGTTAATAGTGTAGATGACCGTGGCTGTGTAGTTAGAGTGTGCAGGCATGTGGGGGACTTGATTTGTGACAATTAATCGCACAGTTTCATTGTTGAGCGGGAATCTCGTAAGAGCCGACGTATCCGGGGAGGTTCCTCCCTCAAGTGAGGTCTTCCCTTGTTCTTCAAGTGGAAGGGAACAAGTAAAAACCCGAAGGGGTGTACGAGAAATAAAAGATACCAATAGTGTAGTTAGCTTATTTCATTAATTAATTAATTTATTTATTTATTCAGGGAGGATCACTCGGATCTGTAGCAGATCTCGTACCCCTAGCCCTCCCAATTCTGGAAGGTTTGAGCGACGTGAGTATGCAAAAGCTCATTCAACCCAGGGAACGGTTTTTTTGAAATAAATTACTACATTTGAATTCAATAAATTGGTTTAAATTTAAATTCAGTTTTCATTTGCATTTTTATTCACGTCGAGGTAATAGTTTACTGCAAGCAAACGACATTCACAAATTACGAATAAAATTGTCCAAATGAAAAGAAAGAAAATCATTAAATTCATTAACATGTAATGAATTTAATGATAATTTGGACACAGTAAATTATTCATGTCATATAATGAAAGATTTTCAGTGAAAAAATAACTTACACTTATTAATTTCTAACTAACAGGCCGTTGAAATGAATGGAGAAATTCAAGTAGTTGTTTATTTGATTCAAATCTGTGTAATTCAGAACGAATGAAAAAAATAATGGATTTTCGATTTCTCCAGCCCGAATCAGAAGATGATATCATCGAAGTCATCCAAGCAGCGGTTCCGATTCTCCAAGGTTTGTCTGAGGTAAAATCCGTTAACATTCTACGAGAGAATTTATGGAGAAATTTCGATTTCGATTGATTGCTTAATTCAACACGTTTTCGAACGAAAGTTATTTTCGGTGGATTCTTCCAGGGAGATGATGATGAAGGGGGCGGGGTCAACGATCTCATTGCGATGATTGTTCCGGTGATAATAAGGATAATTAACGTGAGTTGTGATTAATGTCATTAGGAAGGAGCACTTCAGGATTTTCTGGTTCTTTCGTAATGGATTATTGACTTTAGGGTAAGGACGGCCAAGGCATTGACCTGGCAGCGCTGTTTGGCCCGATTTTCAGTCTCCTGGCGCCGTTTATTGGGCCTGTTCTGGCACCCATAATAGGCCCGTTAATCCGGACGATTAGTAATGTGAGTAAATAAAAATATATCCCAAGACCTCCCAAAATTTAGTCCCTATGGTTTTGCGGAAAAAATTCTGAATGGATGAATTTATCGCATTCTCATAAGTTACTGAGTATTTCTACCGTCATATGTTGTTGATGAAAGCAACATTAACTTGAAATGATTCGGTAATCAAGTGTTTGAATCAAATAGGAAATGATTTCCCGAAATTTCCATTTTTTTAAGTTGAATATCACAGAAACTGTGGATTACAAAATTTAACAAAAAATTCAACGTATTCGAAATTTATTCATCTTGTGTAGCTAGTTACAATTTTCCTCAATAGCTGAGGAATATTATAGACATTATCTATGAAAAACACGGGGACAATCGTAAGAAAAACCAGTTTTTTAGGGAAATACATCAAAATCTATTTTGATGAGGAAAAAAAATTGACCGGAGTGAATTTCAGATGAGAAAAAATGTAAATATTTATATTGAGAGAACATTACTGATAGGGTAGATAAATGTTGTGGATTTACGCGCTTTAAACAATGAAAAATACATTCAAGAAAAAATTCTTTCTGCTGTTAGACGGTTACTCCTGCAGTTTCAAGTTAAAAATCTTTAAATTTTTGATAGATAACTCACCTGAACTTTCTGGAATGTTCAATTAATGCAATTGTGACAGTTCAGACAACTATCTACTAATCTATTGAGAATTCAATTCATTGTGATGTTAATTTTTCACGACGAATTGAAGAATTCAGTCCCTCATTGAAATTTTAATTCGCTTAACACGAAAAACAAACGTTGAATTTCCAAAATCAATATGAAATGCCGTGAACAATTCGATCGTAAATTGAATTGAGCTCCTCAACGTTGAAAATGCAAAAGCTATTGCGTGAATTTCAAAGAATTTCTAACGGTGAGGTACATCGAAGTTATAAATGCAAGAGTCATGTTGGCGAGAGAAACTGGAAATAGATCGACAGAATATTTTTCCTCTTTATGATATAATTATGTTACGTGTTTCAGCCACCGACCGAGGGATCATCTCTCGCTGCATTAATCACAGCTATTGCAGGACCTCTCAGTGCGGTAATTAATCATATTTTTATAATTATCAAGCTCCGTTATTTGCATCTCGATTCGTACAACTTTACAACACAAATTGCATCAACAATAAGTCTTTCAAAACTTTATTATGGCCCCTGAGATATGCGCAGTGAAAGTAGACATGCGAATATGTTCTTTTTCTTGATGCTTGGAATTGCAGATATTTTTTATTCCCGTGTTATCTAGCCTCAGGAACCCAGCGGAATGTCACCACTGTCGATTGTCATTGCAGGAACTACGGCGGCACTGTTGAGAGTGAGTTTGCAAATTGTAAACGATGTCAACCTCACTAATTTCACGGAGAAAAAAAGTTTCTGGTTTCCAGCACCACGGTACGGTCAGGAACCGTTGGGTAATGACATCAGAACTCTCTTGATTTCCTAAAAAGTTGGCGATTCAGGAGGGGTGGAAGTTCTGTAATTTGTGACGAATTGTGCCGGAGCGGGAAGGGGATTGCCTAAATTGAGATGTCACGTCATAATTAATGAAGATAATTTGAGGAGAAAAGGACGTCAATTTAAGAAACTTGAGAATTTTATTTTAAGAACCCCAATGGTTCTTATTTTAAGAACCAAGAGTACTGGATTAGAGAACTAAAGTGCCTTGATTTAAGCACCATGGGTGCTGGAACTTTTTTTATGATTCGCACAGAAATTTAACTGCAATCTAATACTTTTGATACCTAGAAACCAGAATTTTTTTTCCATGTCCATTCGAATTGACAGGAGGAAAGGTTCTGGTTTACAGCACCACTGGAATCAAGAACCGTTGGGTAATGAAATAAAAAAAACTGTTGGTTTCTTAAAATAAGAACCGTTGGGGGCATTCGGAAATTGCATCACGCAATTGGGGAGGGGAGGAGGTTCTGCAATTTGCGACGATTTGTGACGGAGCGGGGAGGGGATTGCCTAAGTTGTGATGTCACATCATAATTAATGGAGATAGTTTGAGGAGATGAGGATGTCAATTTAAGAAACTCAAAGTTTTTATTTTAAGAACCCCAGGACTCCTGATTTTACTATCCAACGGTTTTTATTTTAACCACCGAAAGTACTGGAAAAGTGCCGTAATTTGAGAATGATGAGTACTGGATTTCAGTAAAAATGACTGAGAACTAGATTTTTTTCTGATTCTCAGAGAAATTTTACTGGAATCCAGTCATTTTCGTCTGATTCTCGAAGAATTTTCACTGAAATCCAGCACTCAATGGTACTAAAATCCAGAGACTGTTACTGGAAACCAGAAATTGTTTCGTCTGTGTTCGTAGTTTCATTGACCATAATTCAAAATCTGCATTGATTTGACAGGAGTTGAAGCCGGGAGCACCGGGAGGATCTGATGTGGGGGCTCTTATTGGGTCGATTTTATCTGGGGTTTTAGCCGGAACTAGTGCCGGTCTCAGTGGCGGGTCCTCTGGTGGTTCTGATAGTGGATCACCTGCTCCTTATGCGGTGAGAATTCATCTGATTGAAGATTGACATTTTTTCGGAATTGTAATTTGCGATAAAAAATGCAACAACCAATTAAGTTTCATATTGTTCTCTAAAGTCAGTGATTATCAGGATTGGTCAATGCAAAACATGATATCTGTAATATTTAAGAATGCCAATTTCAGGAAAATTATCACTTTTATTTTGTTTATATTTGATTTTCTTAGTGAATCAAACTTACTCTTCACTTTTTGACTCAAATTTGTGATACCCTTATTAAAAAATTTATGTTAAGGGACAACTTTCTTGAAATTTTAAAGAATTTCGCCGTTAGAAATTCCCAATTTGGTGAAAAAATTTATGCTGAAAAATTTCCTCCAATTCTTCCGTGAAAATCAATAGAAATCCATAAAATCCAGGTAAATTTATCCTCGCATTATCAATTGATTAAAACTCTGCGTAATTTTCTACTGATTTTCCAGTGAAATTCGAAATTTCATGATTTCTTTCTCCCCTAAATCGCCAATTACTACTACGGAATTCCACGGAATTCCAAATTTTTCCAACAATGTAGTTGCCAAAATATCCAACAAAAATCATAATTCAACATTCTCCCCTAAAATCACTAATTCTCAGAATCACTAACATCCACAAAAACAACATCCGTAACATCAAACAACACCGATGTCACAAAAATTATAGTTTTGATTCCATCAACACTTGAAATTCTTAGGACATCACTCACCTTTCCCCCTTAATAACAAAATTACAGAACAGCCAAATTAGATTGTCAATGCCAATTATGCATCATTAAACTCCCCGAATGTTTTCGAATTCAGGCGCCGGTATCTTCATCAACGATAAATGTAGGTTTCCCAGGCAGGCCGTCACCAGGTCCACCGCATAATCCATTCAGCGTGAGTACTTTCACTCGTATTTTTAACAGTAGCTAAAAAGCCTATAATGACGCTTCACCCAAGTCCTGAGGGTAATGATTATGAAACTGAGGGAATATGTGGTGCATTCATGTGAATTAGAATCGACCGAGTCTCGCTGAAAGTACCGTGCACATAGGATCAACGGTTAGACCATCTTATTCGTCAGTTAGGCCGTCTTATTCGTCAGTTGCGCCGACTTATCCTTATCCCCATCATCAGGCGACTGTGGCAACGCCTACGAGACTGCCGTCACCACGGCCACTCGTGCAGCACCATTCGGTGAGTTTATGCGGGGATTCTTTAGTCTGATATAGAGGAGATCACGTGGCTCTGGTTTATGGTTTTAGGGACCTGTTACGGCGGCTACGGGACAGGACAGTTATCTTCCTACCGGGACTGTGAGTAGAATCTGAGTGGCGATATGAATGGAGATAAATTTGAATTTTAAATTACTAGGAAAATTTAGTACTGATGAAATCTCTCAGCAATTTTTAACAGAATTTCACTGAAGAATAATGTAATTTTAGTCTAAAACTTCACGCAAATCATGAAAACTTCATTTTTATTTCATGTGTACATGGTAAAGTGAGATGCATTGCGTTTTTTACACTCAGGAATGCATTATGAAAATCAATGATGCTTAGACAGAAGAACTGAATCAGTAAGAAGAGAAAAATGATTGAAAAATTGGAATGTTTAGGTTCAATATCCCTTTTTATAAATAAACAATCAATTTCCCACTGCAAAAATTATTTTCCGTATTTAAATATTGACCAAAAATTGATTTTATGCCTAAAGAAATGATAAAACGAAATGATCAAACAATTTTCATTATTTATTCGAAGGAAATAAACGTTAAAAAACATTGGAAAAAATTCCTTAGGTAATACAATTGACAAATTTGACGATTAAAAATTTTAAGTGTTCCTGCCTCATCGGTAAATCCCCTCACCTTCTCGAGCAGCTCAGTAAAAAACATTCTCGGAGCAGGAATTGCAATATTTTCTAAATAATACTTCTTTATGTGAATAAACAATCAATTTCCCACCGCAAAAATCATTTTCTATATTTAAATATAAACCTGAAATTGATTTTATGCCAAAAGAAATGATAAAACAAAATCTTCAAACAATTTGCATAATTTATTCGAAAGAAGTAAATGTTAAAAAATATTGGAAAAAATTCCTTAGGAAATACAATAAACAAATTTGACGATTAAAATTTTTTAGAGTGTTCCTGCCTCATCAGTGAATCCCCTCGCGCTCCTGGGAAGCTCAGTAAAAGACATTCTCGGTGCAGGAATTCAAGTAGTCTCATCCCTGATCTCTTCGAAATTTTGCAACATTTGCAAAAATTTCAATGTTCAAAGAATAATACTTCTTTACATAAATAAGTAATCAATTTCCCACCGTAAAAATCATTCTCTACATTTAAATATAAACCAAAAAATGATTTTATTGCAAAAGAATTGATGAAACAAAATCTTCCACCAATTTCCATAATTTATTCGAAAGAAGTAAACGTTAAAAAATATTGGAAAAAATTCCTTAGGAAATACAATAAACAAATTTGACGATTAAAATTTTTTAGAGTGTTCCTGCCTCATCAGTGAATCCCCTCGCGCTCCTGGGAAGCTCAGTAAAAGACATTCTCGGTGCAGGAATTCAAGTAGTCTCATCCCTGATAAATGCAGTATTCGGGATTCTAGGAGCCTCATCGGCAGAACCGCCGGCCCCCACCTACGGCGCGCCGTCAGGCTACGGTCAGGCGTCCGGATAATGCGGAACGTCTGGCCACAGTCAGTGGAAAGTGCCCCGATAGATCAGACAATTGCGCAAGTGCTGAAAATCCCAAGAAAAATCCTGGACGTTTAGGAGCAGTTGTAAAAATATTAACTGCAACCACGTTTCTGCGTGAATATCACTCACGAGTGGCTCTGGAAAATCCCAAGTGTCCACCGCTTCATTTCGTAATGCCCGGAAACTTCTGTTCTCAGGATACAACCTCGAGTCAGTCCATATCGATGCGGGATGTGACAATAAATATTAATATTATGTGAATAGTTACCGCATTAAACGCCTCCTTTCTTATTTATCTGAATTAATAAAAAGCCTCGCCAATTATAAAACACTTTCGTAATTGAATCACTATATCACAGTGTCCTACCACTTTCCCATGAATATTATTATCTCTCGTGTTAATGTCTCTTCCTGATTCGATCGATGACACTTGAGCTTTCTTATCCTGTAGTCAGTGGTGAACAGTTTTGATGACTGAAATTTCCGGTACACTTGGAAAATTTATCAAGTGATGGTTTCACTGATGTTTCAAGAAATTTCGTCGGTGAAAATTCAGTATTTAACGGGTGAATCTATGGAAACTGTTAATTTCAGCTCAATTATTTCAGGATTAATTTTGGAAAATTAATAGAAGTCGGGTAGTTTCAAGTAAATATGGTGTTGAATGGTTAATTGATAACAAATTCTGCAAACTTTGGTGCTGAATTTTTATGTTTTGATGGAAAATTCAAGTCAATTGCAATCCCATTGAATTTTCAGGGAAATTGATCGTCTCAGAATTTGCGGAATTTAATTTTGAAATTTTAGAATCCTCAAAAATTTGAAATTTTATTTAGTTGGAGGTAAAATAAAAAATTTCAGAGTTAAGAACTTCAATTTTGAAATTGTAACATTCTAAAAAATTTGAAATTCTGTCGAATTTTCAGTGAAATTGAGAATTTCAGAATTTGAAGAATTGAATTTTAAAATTTCAAAATCCTCAAAAATTTCAAATTTTATTTAATTTACATTAAAATTCAGAAACTCAGAATTAAATCATGAATTTTGAAATTGTAACATTCAAAAAAATTTCGGATTATGTCAAATTTTGAGTGAAATTGAAAATTCCGAAGTTTTGGAATTGAACTTTGAAATTTTTGAATTTTTACTATATTGGAGGTAAAAAAAATTTGACTGCATCTTCAGGTACATTTTTTGGAAATTATTATCAACTGACAGTCGCACAGACATTCCAAGGAATTTTCTAATTGAAAATTCACAATTTGATGAAAGAATCAATGGAAATTGTAAATTTCAGATCAATTAGTCCACGAAAATGAATCGGATCAATCAATTTCGTCATGAGATTTAATTTTTTTAGTTGACGTGTTTAGATTTTCGCAATGCCGAGCATTCAGCTGCCATGAGCTGCTTCATTTCATCTGTCATTCGATGCGTCTCTCATACGCACTCAAGTGATGAACGATCAACTAATGACGGAAGTGGCATGAGGAATTGACCGCACGCTGTTGCATTTCCTGAATAGTCAGACATAATCAGATGAAATGTTGGTTGTTTTGAGAAACTCCTGTGCCATGACTGTTCTGTGTGCAGTAATTCGTCTTGTGTTTATGAATTGTGGTTTAGGAGTTAGTTATGCTCGTTTATGTAAATGGTGTCGTATTAATTGTGACTTTACTGCTTTCTGCGTTGAAATTGATTCGAGCCATGTAATAGGGTGATTATCGTGGAGAGTTATATCTGGTGAGGCAATGCAAGGCAGATGTGTACTTCGATCATTAATAATTAATGATGGATGGTTATTAATGCGAATGGATATTGGAGGATATTGAAGAGGCTATGCTCGATGTTCTATTTGAGGTGGAACAATTCAATTGCAGAAATTTTTCTCGATGGATTTTTAATTCAATAGCGAAGTGGTCAAACGAATTAAGTCAATTGAGTCTTTAGTGGAGTTTTCCAGAAATATTTCCGAATTTAAGGGAAATAGCGAAATTTTCATAATAACCTTTTTTGTAGAGGGAATTGAGTGCTACTAAAAAGGTTATGAGAAAAATTTTGATATCTCCCTTAGATTTCGAGACATGGCCAATAGCCGAAATCGACTTAAACCGTTTGATTACTGCGCTACTGAATTGTGTTTCTCTGGACATATTTTACGTATCTGCTGAGAAACGACTACGAAAATTCTCTGAAGATTATTGAAACTTGTGGGGAATTCAAGAATGTTCTTTCCTTAACAAATCGAGAAAATACCGTGAATTTACAGAAAAATCTTAGATTTCTAAAGTATTATAAAGAATTGAAGAAAATTGTTGAGTTTTTTTTGCAAACTTAAGAGAATTCCAGGGTTTTGCGCGGACATTCGAAGAGATTCTGGGGTTCTCTAGGAAATTTAAGGAAATTTTCTTTTTTTTATTCAAAAAAATCCTCGTGTAGTTTAGAAAATTGAATAAAAGAACCTTTGAGAGAATTTAGAGATTCTCTAGAATGCCAGATCCACTAGAATTCACGAAAATACCAGGGTTTCGTAAAAAATTCCGCAATTCTCCGGATTTTTACGCTTTAAAATGCTTTGTATCCCGCAGCATTTTGAGTTGCACTCCCTTTCGCCAACGAATAACTGCAGCAATGTGCTTTGCGGATCTCTCGAGGTCATTGACACAGCTTCGATTAAAATCCTACGTAGATTTTTTCTCCCTTCACACTCAACTTGTCCCGTTGATTGCGTTATTGCGCCTCGTAATAACTGGAACGCTAGGCAACAGGGGGACACCTTCGACCGCTGGAAAATCACCATAATGCATGATACAAGAACCCGCCTTTTTTCTCTTTGTTTTTTCTTTCCATTAAAAACCATCTGATGTTCGTGCCAGTAACATCGATACATCGACGCTGGGCTATGGGATATTTTAATTAGATGGTGTGATAGAAACGGGGGTAAATGCGATGTTTACCGAGACCTGCGAACATCTCGTTATCCTGAGGATTCAATTATTACGAAATTCTCGAACGATCGCATGCTCCAGAATTTTTTATCCACGAAACTATTATTGAGTTTGACTGCCTCAACGAGGTGTATTTTTTATTGTCGGTGAATGGTGGATTCATTACGAATACATCCCATTTACACTTTCGTAACTTCATTTGGTAAAAATGATGGTCGTAAAATTGACGGATAAAGTGAAAGAAAGGGGCAATCATTTTTTATAGTTTACCTCAGTATAGAAATTCATTAATGAAGAAATGTTGATGGCCAATAATTTCTCATCAATGGAATTTATTAGTTGAGTAAATACCGTATTCTAATCCTGGCGGAAAATCTAACGTCACTTTCCTATCGAAATTGCTCAAAGTTCCGACGATGGCCGATTTATGGGGATTTTCCACACGATTTTTTTAGTTACGAAATATTGATTTCATAAGGAATCCAATGGAAATTGACATTTGAATTCCATGTGGTGATTTAATGATCAGTTAAGTATCAATATAAGTGCGTGAGGAGACATATTTTTAGCCGAATGAATTCGCAGGGAATTCTGTGGACGAAATTAAAAAATTGCAATGAAGATGTAATAAATGTACTGTTGAAAGCATTCTCAGTGGAGAAAATTAAACATTCAATAAGATGTGGAAATACTATGTTACAACTTCTTAAATCATGAATTTTATGAGCAATTTGATAGTAAGCCGTAAGGATTATAAATAACATCATCAAATAAAATGTCTCTTTATTTTTCATTTTTTGAATAGTTTTCGTTCCATTTATCCAAACAAATGACATATTTTAATACATTTCATAGGTTTGAATGAGTGCGATGTAAATTAACATTTCCATTTGATGGATTGATCTAATGACAATAAAATATATATGTAGTGACAATAGAGTATATATGGAAACAAAAGCCTGAGGCGATGTTTTTTCAGTTGAAGAATTTGAAGTGAATTGTAACAGTTGAATAAATATAAAAATGCGAATGAAAAATGTCGCAGTAAATTTACCTTTGGAATCACTCATAGTCAAGAAAATTGAACATTCAGCAAGATGTGGAAATATCATGTCACAAATTCTTAAATCATTAATTTCATGAGCAATTCGATTCTGAATCGTAATGATTATAAATAACATCATCAAATAAAATGTCTCGACGTATTTTTCATTTTTTGAATAGTTTTTGCTGCATATTATCGAAAAAAATAGCATTTCAGTTCGATGTGTTGACTTAATGATCAATAAATGAATACAAAATCGTGAAGAAATTTTTTTTCAGTTGAATGCATTCGCAATAAATTATGAGACTGAAATAAAAATAATAAGTCGGAATAAAAATGTCGTAATAAATTTACTCTTGAAGTCACTTCTGGCCGAGAAAAGTGAGCATTCAACAAGATGTGGGAATAACGTATTGTGTTACAACTCCATAAATCATGAATTTCATGGAGAATTTTTTTCCAACTGCTAAGTGTCATCAGATGAAATATCTCATCCTGATTTTATATTCTTTGAATATTTTGCATTCCATATTATCGAAAAAAGGTGCCATATTTAAATCGAATTCATCGGCTAGGACAAATAACTAGAATTTAATAAATCTCATCAGTTCAACAGTTGAGAGATTGAACTAAGAAATATTGAAAAAAAAATGGCTGAATTTTGCGGAATAAGATCTTGAATTCGATTAAAAACGAAAAATTCAATGAAATTTCAAGTTTTTCTGAAAATCCAAGTAAAGTCCCAATTTTTCAGCGGCAGAAATTCCACAATTTACATGAATTTTCAAGTGAATATGAATATTCACTGCTAAATTCGCTTGAATTTGGAGGGAATCCCTTCAAAGTTATTGGAATTCCAGGACTTTTTGAAGCAATTCTTTGGAAATTTCGAGGAATTTCAAATTCAAGGAGAGATTTCTCTGAATTTTCCAGATTTTTCATTAATTTTCCCGAAATAATTAAACTCAAGTTTACAGTTTGCACGGA